AAGCTCTTTCTTATACACATATGTGTGTCCATGGATTTGTTCCTCTAGTCTACCCAGACTAACAGTTTTAATCTTGACTTCCTTAATTTTGTGTATTGTATTAAAAATACGAGCATTTTCATACAAATAGTTTGTCAATTAATACAGCATCTAGGATCCTTGGTTTCTTCACCTGCAAAATTGAGGTTATAAACTCACAGGGACACTAATTTAATTAAGAGTGTCGGGAGCACAACCAGCACTCAAAGATTGTATGTACCCACAACTGTAATTATTATTCTGTTAATACCACCACATTCTTCCCGTCCACATAAAATCCATTACGGAGTTTGTCTGACTCGACCTTGGAAATGGTCCTCGCTGTACTCTCCTTTCCATTTATCCTACCACTCTGAACTCAGGGGCATTTCATCTTCCCTTTTCAACCATGTGTCCAAAACCAACCACACAATTCATCTGAAAACATGCTTTTCTGCTCCCATGTTTAAAAGAAACAACCTCAGTGGCTTTCCATTGTCCACAAAATAAGCACAGTCTGTTGGTTCAGGTTCTCGCAATAAGCCCTTTCTGGTATCATTGCCATTCTACCCCAACAGTGTTTCTTCTGCCACAGGGATTAAGTCTGCCCTCCAGATCCAACTTATCCTTCAGACCTACCTCAAAGCCTGCCTCGAACCGTCCTACTGGAACTGGCCTTCTCTCATCCCTTCTGAGGACCCTGGTTGTGCTGTCACGTAAGAGCTGGGCTGCTGCTAATCGTAAAGTCATGGGGTCAGGCCCACCAGCCACTCCTTGCAAAAACGTTTAGTTGCTTGTTCCAGTAAAGATTTACAGTGTCAGAAACCCTGTATAGGGTCTCTCTGAAGGTGCGTTTAGGTGTTGAAAAGCAAAGTTCTTACTTTGAGGACCAAGCCGTTTTCCATCGTCTCCTACGCACGTGAAAGTTGGACACTGAATCAGGAAAACTGAAGAAGTGGTACATTTGAATGATGGTTCTGGTGACGAACACTGAAAATACACCGGACTGCCAAGAGAACCAAAAAATCTGTCTGGGGAGAAGCACAAACAGAAAGTTCTTGAGAGGGAAGGATGGAGAGAGTTTGTCTCGTTCCTTGGACACGTTGTTGGGAAAGACCAAGCCCTGGAGAAGGACATCATGCTTGATAAAGTAGAGGGAGAGCAAGAAAGAGGAAGCTCCTCAAAATGACTGGCACAGTGACTGCCACAGTGGGTTCAGATAGAAGAACCGTGGCGGAGATGGCGCAGACGTGGGCAGTGATTCATTCTTCCGTACGTAGGACTGCTGGTGGTCAGAATCGGCTGGATGGAGTCGGAATTGACTTGAGGGCCGTGTGCTTGGTTTCAGTTTGGGCTATTCCAGCATTTCTAGACCAGAGTACTGCTTCTGTAAAGACTACCAAACAAAGCCCCCTGACTGCCATTGAGCCGATTCTGACTTTCCATGGCCCTAGAGAACTGTAGAATAGAACTGCCCCAGTGAGTTTCCAACACTGTAAATCTTTCTGGGGATAGAAAGGCTCATCTCTCTTCTGGGGAGTGGCTTGTTGTTTCACACTGCTGACGTTATGGTTATGGTTAGTAGCCAAACTGGTAACCCACTATATCACCAGGGCTCCTACCACTTCTGTAGCAATTAACATATATTGAAGTGTTTTTGGTTAACATTACTAAAGAACCAAGGACATTTAGTCCTTAGGTTGGACCAGGGTGCAGCTGCCTTAGCTGGTTCCCTGCTTCAGCTGGCAAGGCTGACTTCCTGAAAGACATCCCTGAGGAGAAGCCGCATGGACCTACCCCATGCAGCCCTGGGTGCTGGAGCAGCCGTGTGGAGACCCCTGCCAGCGCTGAGATGCTTACACGTTCACTGATTTGGCTTCTCTCCTGCAGTTGGCTTCATCGCATGTGTTTTGTGAGATAGAGGAGGACTTTGTGGATTGGTGTCGGACATATGGGTTAATGTTGGACTTGTGGGCTTGGGCAGCACTAGGATGTTTTCTTGATGTGTACTTACCCTTTATATAAAATGCTCTCTTTTACATATGAGTTTCTGTGGATTTGTTTCTCTAAAGTACCCAGACTAACACACACGTACTCAAAAATTGCTCATTATTATTGGTTTTATTTTTGTATACACTTTCTATTTCCTTACTAAAATGCTCTGTCTTACCCCCTGGTGGGGTCATGGCTTACATGTGGGGTTGCTTACCTTAAGGTTAGCAGTTCCGAACCACTTACCGCTCTGCGGGAGAAAGATGAGACTTTCTACTCAGCAATCTTGGTGGCTTAGTGCTTATGTGTTATTCCTTAGATTGGTAGTTCGACACCACTAGCTGCTTTAGGGAAGAAAAAATGGAAAAACTTCTTGGAAACTCACAGGGTGTATTCTACCCTGTCCTTTAGGGTCACTATGAATCCATATTAACTTGATGGCTGTACGTTTTGTTTTGAAAAGCGTCACAGACTCAGAAACCAAAAAGGGGCAGCTCTTCCTGCCCTATAGGGTCACTATAAGTCAGAAAGGACTCTGGCAGTGAGTTTGGTATGGGGGTTATCTTTTGAGCTTCTGTTAGGCTTGTACTTTGGATCACACACTGATTTATTATCGTCTCTGGGTTGATTTTGTTTCGTGCCTTAAGATGTGATAACTTCCTCTGCTATAAGTGAGATGTTAACTCACATGTCATATGTAGGTCGAAGACATAGTTTAGTGCCCAACTTTTGATGAGTGTTGATAAAACAAACAGGTTACAAGTTAGAGTGTGTATGCGAATAAAACAGTTGTTAATAGGACATTGGAATTACAACGGATGCTCACTATTGCATGCCTTCATACAAAGAAGTGCCAAGTAGCTTGTTAAGAACTGCTTTAAAGTGCTTTCATAAGTGCTCCTTATCTTGCCAAACTTGTTTTGCTTAATGATTGAGAAGGAGGCTGGATTAATAAAAGGAATAACATTTCAAAGCACCTGGTAGGCCTACCCCCATTTTGCAGATTGGGATGTTGAGGTTTGCAGTGGGTCAAGGCATTTCCTTTGGCAATACTGCCATCCAGGGAGAGGGCTGGTTACACAGTAGTAGGATATTGTCTAAGCCAACACATGCTGCGCTTTTCCTAAGCCACTGACTGGTCTGCTATATTTTCTCTCGCAGACACTACGTTTGTGTCACCAGCCAGATCACCTCTCTTGCCTGCCTTGTGTAATAAAACAATTGGAAGCAAATTCTGGTACACCCTAGAGTACAGGAGGGCTTCAGCTGTGAGTTTATTACTACCTTTTTATGCTGATTCCATTTCATTCTTGTTTTCCTTTATTCCTTATCAGCTACTTTCAACTCGGGTCATCTTGTTTAAATATGTATCCTCGGAGTCCTTGGGTAATCCAAGTGGTTAAGTGGCCTTTCTACTAGTCACAGAAAAGTTGGTCTTTTCCAGCACACCCAAAGGCGGCCTCTCAGACTTGGGCAGTGGGCCACATGAGGTCGTCCTGAGTCAAACTCCGCAGCAGCGGGTTTAGGAAACTCTTTAAGTCTCTTCTCAAACGAAACATACATAACTAATATTTACACGACTGGTACTTCCATTAGTCTGAAGCAGGTTCTATTGCAGAAACCCCATGCTTTTTGAAGAGAAGCACACTTGTGTTTGAATTCTAGTTCCCATAGTTAATAATTGTGGGAACTTGGACAAGTTATTTAACCTTCCTGAATGCCTTCTCTGTAAAATGGAAATAATAAACCATAACTCACAGAGATGTCTTGGGGATTAAATAAGCTAATGCATGTAAATTACTTAGTGCATAGTAGGCGTTCAATAAATGTCAGTCCTCTTCTCCCAGTTAATAATGCTTATTACACTATATTAAAAACGAGAACCAGACTGTGATAATGCATTTCTTTATTAAGTATTTAAGCCAAATAACTAATTTCCCCCAGGGGGAAGGGAAAGAAATGCTGAATTGGTTTCATTTGGTGAACTTATTTCTTAATCTTTTCTTTGGCATTATTTAGTTTCATAGTCCATAATTAGTTTTTATACAATGGAAATGTCACCGCTCAGTATTCCTTTTAACTTTACTCTGATAATGGTTTCTCATCTATTATTATTTCTGATGCTTAAGCGCAATCACTAATTATGGATGCGTTTTCAGAACTATTTCGTGCTGACAAAACTTTTGCTTTCAACCATTTCCCTGAGTTACAAGGATTTAAAAGACTCGAGTTTTTAGTGGGCAATGTTACAGCAGAATAAAACTGGGGCAATTCCAACTCGACTGTGCGCTTTCGTGTTAATGTTTGTAGGTTTGCATTTAAGTGAAGCCACGTTTTCCTCAAGGACAGAAGCTGAGAGAGACAAGGAAAACGAAGTGGAAACTGACGAATCCAACTGGAACTGTGGTACCATTGTACCTTTAAGGACTGGAGACTTGGTATTAGCTCAGCCTCCTTCCCGGCCCACCTCTGAACTCTGATTGACAGGGCGCCGGGTGAGGAGGAGCTGAAGGAGGCTGTAGAGGAGGCACCGGGAGGGAAGTAGGGGGAGGAGGGCCCTTTTTTTCTCTGATGGCCAATCAGGGGAGGGGGGCGTGGCCCGAGACGCCCTCCTCCTTCCTTCTCTCCCCCCCTCCTCCTCCTGGCTTCCCCGCCCCCTCCCCCTTCCCGATGCCCCCTCCTCTCTCCTCCTTCTCGTCCTCCTCCTCCTCCTCCTTCTCGTCCTCCCTCCTCCTCCTCCTCCTCCTCTCAGGCTGTGGTTTTTCTGTATATGTTTCTAGAGTCCTGAGCCTGAGCTAAACAAAAGCAGGAGGCTGCCGGGGCCGCCGGAGTTTGCCGAGACACGGAGGAGAAGCGAGCCTGTGCTCTGCCTGCCGCCGCGGCTGGGGGAGAGCTGGCTTTGGCAACAGCCCACCCCCTTTGAGATCACTCTGGCCCGGAGTGGGGGTGGGGGGCAGCGGGGGGTGGGGGGGGAAAGTTTGCATTGCAATCCCCCTGCCTTCCTCTCCTTTCTCCCGATCAATGCATATTTGCCAAAGGATTAAGCCACAGATTTAAGCGCCGGGAGCCCATTTCTGCCTTGCCAAGGACACCGGACTGAAAAACCAAAAGCCAGCTCTGATTTCTTTTCGCCAAGTGGGAAGGTGGTTTATTTTTCTTGCTTTTTGGAGTCAACACCCTTCCCCACCAAGCCCTTATCCCCACCCTCACCCCGCAACCCCTTCACGCCCCCCTCCCCTTCCCCACTCCCCATCCTCCCACCATCCTCTAAAGAGGCAAAGGGATCCCCCCCCCTTTTGGTGCTCTTTTTCCCCCCTTCCCTGTTTATCCTGAAAAGGATTCGAAGACAGCTCGAAGGATAAAAAGCCTTGGTGCTTCCCAGCAGCCGAGCCGAGGAGCAGAAGAGGAAGAGCCGGGGGCTGCCGTTGCCTTTGGAGATGGACGAGCAGCCCAGGCTGATGCATTCCCACGCTGGGGTCGGGATGGCCGGACACCCCGGCCTGTCCCAGCACTTGCAGGATGGGGCCGGAGGGACCGAGGGGGAGGGCGGGAGGAAGCAGGACATTGGAGACATTTTACAGCAAATTATGACCATCACAGACCAGAGTTTGGATGAGGCGCAGGCCAGGTGAGATGGAGGCTTTTCTTTTCCTTTCTTGGGTTTTTTGTTTTTCTGCCTCTCGCAGGAGGAAACAATGGGAACTGAATCACCACAGCGCTTTCTTTTACAATGTTATTTCTTTTCCCTTTTTGGCGAGCAACTACATGGCGGAGGAGTAAAATTTAAAGGAGCGTTGTTATCGAGAGTGTAATCGCCCTTGCCGTAATGTGGCTGCGTACATTAATTTTATATACATATATATATGTCTGTATATCTGTGTGTAGTGTGTCCGTGTGTGTGAACGTGTGTGAGAGTAGAGATATTTATATATATTCACAATCACACTCAGAGAGACGGCGAAAATGCTGCCAACTGATCCAAAAGCGGCCCTCGCACTTTTTACTGCTTTAAAAAAGTCTCAGAGAGCAGGATTGTCGAGTTCTGAGCAGCACCCCATGCCTCCTCTCCGAGGGACCCCATTTTCTTACAAAATGAATGGTCCCAAGAACTCTTTAGTTGCCACTTTTAGTTGACTCCTTGCCTACCTGATTCAGCGACGTGTGATTTTTCTCTCTTGACTGGGCACTCCGAAATTAATTTGTATCTTTTTCCTTGTAGCCTTCTCTCCCCTAAAAAAAAAAAAAAGCAAACAACAACAACAACAACAACAACCAGGGCATGCCTTTGTCACTCCCCGTCAGCATATTTTGCATTCATTCAATTCTGTACCCACTCCCCCCAAAGAAGAAGAGATATTTTTTGCTTTTAAGCAGCTTTGTTAGTTTTAAGAGACTCAGATGTTTAGTTTAACTTTATTGTCTCTCAATTGGAGTCGGCTTACTAGCCCTTAGGTGACACAGACAGCTATGTATGGTCCTTTAAAAGGGGGTGGGGGACAAAAATCCAGCAGCATGCTTCTTATTCCATGCTTCCTTCAGGACCATTTAGAATGGAACTAAATAGAAATGAAAGCATGTGCGAATTTTATGTCGTTCAATATGGTAGGGCATGAAGATCTTCATTAAGGAAAACATTATAAAGAAGCAGTGTGGCTTCCCAACTTAACCCTACACCAGATCTATGGCTCTGCACTGTAGGATTATATGAAAATATACTCTTTCAAAGTAAAACCTAGGTTAAATAGCAGCCCACTAACAGTTTACCTGGAGCCTGCTCTTAAAAAAAAAAGAAAGAAAGAAAGAAAGAAAGAATTTTATGTCTCTGCAGTTAGCCAGCTTTGTTAAATCTCAGAAGTATTTCTTTCAAATCTTTTGAACATGTGTACACAATCCCATATTTCACAAATGACTTGTTTAGCTGGAGAAGATGCCATTATGTGCATCTGTGTCTAGGGGAAACGGGAATTTGAGTCAAGAAAATGAGAAGCAGCGAAAAGAAATCGTGAATGTTGTGAATTACAGCCCTAGTTTAGCTGCAAGCACATGCAACATGTAAACTGAAAAGTACCGAGACTTGCGTGTGCTTGACAACCTGGAAATATTCGAAGACTAGACCTGCTCTAATTCTTGCTTTTGATGTGGGACAGTTTATACTCGGTAGGCTTCTTGAGTTGTGTTATCTGACAGAAAAGCTAAGAGAGATACTAAGTAAGCCGAGTTCCCATGGACAACACTCTTTTGACTCGGAAAGATTTCTCTCGTGTATTGTTGCAGAAAACTAGACGCAGACATACCAAGGAACCGGTGTAATAACAAGTTTGTAAAGTGAAAGGGCCTTGGGAATGGACAGACGCCACATCTCTGATGTGAGGTCCCTCTCGGTTCCTGTGACCTGAAGGCAGCCCCAGCTTTTGGTGGATCCCCTCTTTGAATGCTGATAGAGACCAGGAACAATTTTAGAATAGAGGATGTTTGTCCTGTTCTTCTCTAACCCCGGTTGCATGCTGTGGAACTGTAGTATTTCTATGAAGCCCTCTGGGAATTTTTATTAGCACTTGGGCCTATGTACAAGAATAACATTAATGAAACTATTTTTAAAGATGTAGAAAGAAGTCTTTAGTGTACTAAAGAGGTTTCCCTCGCCCTTTCTCTCACCCCACACTGAGAACTGACCAAATGGCCACCTGGCTTTCCTTTAGGTTAAACAATGTAACTCTGCTTAACAAATACTATGCTTTTTTTTAAAACTATCCCAGTCACACCTTCGTTTACTAAGTGGACAACTCGTATTTTAGACACAATGTATACGTTCATTTGTATACTCTTGAATGTTTTGCTTGCTACTCTATTGCTGTATAGTACATAGCATGCTTCTGGTTTCTGTTCTTCCTGAAAATATGCCTATTTCTTAATTTTCAAAGGCATAAAAAAGAATTGCACGTGTTTTATGTGCCAGGGGTTCCCTTTATCTCCGCACATTAATTTTTGCTAATGAACAGAATTCCCCTAACTAATAGCTGATATGATCAGCATCTTGTTTCCCAAACAATATCCTTCTGCTAAGTGATTCTACATAGTAAAATAAAGGCACAGCTATTGTTTTGTTCCTGGAGTGCATTCTGAACACGACCACACACCCAAGAACTAGGTAAATCACTAACCTAAATGGCAGCATTGTATTTATTTCCCCCCCCCAAAAAAAAAATGGGTGCAAGTTTCTAATTGTAAATAATTGAATTTCAACACCTGCAAATAAGGGAAGTGTGCACAAGAGGCATAATGTGAACATAGAGAAATGAATTTATTCCCCATCTGGGTATGTTTGCCCCTGGCAATGCATTTCCATACTCTTTAACTTGGGGACTGAAAATTTTATAAATTGACAGTTCTACTCAGAAGACCTTTCAAGCATCTTGTGTTTATGAGAATACAGGGGCATCTGCAGAATGAATTTGAACACATGGATGAATTAAATTTGAGCGCGCACACACACACACACACACACACACACACAGACTGAGAGGCAGACAGCTCCTAGGTCGGTATGGTTTGCATAGATTAAAGAAAACTGTTAAACCCGTGCATTTGGCTTTGCTGTGTCCATTTCATTAAATAGGATTATTGGTTTAGAATTCCTTGTTGATTAAACTACTTAAACAAACAAATAAAAAACCAACAAACAAAACTCAGCCTAAAGGAGCATAATGTAGGTTAGTTCTGTTCTATAGTTAAATCCCTGCTGCTCTCTCCTGCTAATTAACATGATTTCTTTTTTGTATTGCGAGACTGTACTAAGTCATAAAATAATTGAAGCATGCCACAAGAGTTATGCTGGACATATAATTTTGGCTAAATGTCTGCATTTTCTTTGCCTGTGTATTATCAGCAGTTTGATCTTGAAAGTCCACCTAAGCTGTCGTGTTGTTGTCTCTCTCTTGCAGAAAACATGCTTTAAACTGCCACAGAATGAAGCCTGCCTTGTTTAATGTGTTGTGTGAAATCAAAGAAAAAACAGGTAGGAATGAGATTCCAACATTTAAGCATTTTCTTTGGCCAATTGCATCACTGAAAAACCAGCAGTTGCTAACTTATTATTATTAAAATCTCAGGATAAATGCACTATCAAGACGGATCATATGATCTCAATAGGATACTCTAATCCTGCTTCCTTTAAAGGGAAGCGCCAAGTTTCTTTGACAGTTATCTACATTCCTGGTTTACTTTCCTTAACTATTGCTGCCCTATTTGAAATTGGGACGGAAAAGGAGATTCTGAAGGAATTTACAAAACTCAGTCTTTGGGAGCAACGTGTAGGCCACTCACTATCCTGAAAGACTGCATTTTGCTGCTTATGGAAAACCTGGAATTGTTTTGAGTTGACCATGGGTGGCCGGACTGTTTAAAGTTTCTTTTCTGTTTTCCCCCTCCTTGTAATGACACAAAGCCACAGACCCGACCTTCCCAGGTGAGAGCGTTAGCAACTACCTTCGTGGAAAGCGCTACCTACACAGCCTTAGGTTACCGGTATTTGGAGGTGCTCTGTGATTTTCTAGCAGCAAGGCTGCTTGCCTTGAGCAGTGTATGCCACGAGACCACTCGTTCTATTGTTTTCCTACTTCCTAGACCTTGGATCATGGACTAACACACTTATAACACATCCCAGGAGGGCATTTAAATTTTAAAGCAACAATTAAAAAATAGCAGTCATCAATCAGAGGTGTTCTTAAACAACAGATGCTCGGGGAAGGACATTTAGCAACAACCTCTTGTTTGTTTATTTTCATCCTTAATTTTACAGAGTGGGGATAGCTCTCCCTGGTAAGAAGATTGGGTGGGAAGGCAATTTGAAAACCGGGGCACAGAGACGAGGGGCAGGAGGTGCTTATATAAAAGCCGGAGCTTCCGCTGGGCTCTGACCCGCTTGCTTCTGAGTGGTGCAAAGTACCTGACATCCCATTTCTTTCTTTCTTTTTTACAACAAGGAGTGTAACAGTCAATAATTCATCTCTAAACCATATAAGCAAGGGCATGACATGAATGAAAGTGACAATAAATATGATTGCATGCCCAGTTGATATACATTGATAGTTACACATAAACACAAAACAAAACAAAACAAACAAAAACAGGCGGGTGGTGTTGGAGGGCATACAGGGAGGCTTTCTTTTTGAGAGCTGGCACAGGTCACCTTAAAAAAAAAGGAAAGAAATCAATAGTTTCAAGATGTGACCGTAGATTGGGTATACAATTACGTGGGCCTTGACATCTGTATGTATAATTAGTAAATGTCTCTTCTGTGGAATGTTATGTGGGCTGTGGATACAGCATCCCAGACAAAGCCACCTGAGCGGTGATGTGGCGACCTTTCAGACCTCCAGGCTGCATTGCCAGCGCCTAACCTTATTGATGCCGAGCTGTGAATTGTTATTTTAGCGGTGAGGCACCTTTTTAAAGAGATTTATGGGTTGTGTATATACACATATCCGAAGAGCCCTTTCAGTTGGTCACACTTCTTAGTTTGTTTGTTTTGTTTTGTTTTCTTTCCTCTCAGCCCAGCGCAGGAAACCCAAGTGTGCTTGTATTTCCCCCCACCCTCTTCTCACCATCTCTCTTCCTTCTCGTTTTCATTGTTGCTCTCTGGTGCTTACTTACTTTGAGAATTTGGTTTGTTGCGATTTGCTTCCAAATGAGTATCAGTTCTTGCTGAGACTGATTCAAAGAAATGGTGAATCACAATATAAAGGCATAGGTGATCACCCAGGCAAATGAGTCGGTTTTTGAGGGCAGTGTATCAGATTTCTTTTTACTGAAAGGAAGCGGGCTAGGCCACTGAACTGTGCACGGTGGCCCAGGTGCGCCATGGCAAGCTCCTCATTAAAACCGCTGGAGGCGGACGGTCACAGAGGGTCGCTGTGACAGACACCCTGGTCAGGTGTGGGTTACGCGCGGTGTTCATACTGGCTGTATGGTGATAGGAAGGGAGTGGGGGGCCGAGAGAGCCTTTGGTCAGAATAATGTTCTAAAGGTGCACGTTAGGTAACATTTTATTTTTTAAATTTCTTTGACAACATTTCTTGTGTTTGCTTTTAAAAATAATCTCAATCGGATACTGTATGCTGGCTCTAAAATAACATATATTTAAAAAGTGTTTATCAAGTCATATAAATCAGACCTGAATCAATGTCCCCTGTGTTCAGGGGCACACACGCACGTTGTGCACACACACGCACACGATTTCGGATTGACGGTACCCCAGGGTGAAAGTTGGAGGGGAAGTCCTAACTCACTACCCACTGCCCAGCCAATTCCAGAAAAAAATAAGAGGGCCTTGTCTCCCCCCTCCCCCCTTTATTCAACTGTGTGTTGGAGGAGCAAGGGCAGGAAGACACCTCCTGGAACTGGGGGCGCTCTGAGGGCACTCTGTTCAGGGTAGGAGCTCACTGGGGGAGTGGTGGTGGCAGAGAACCCTCTGATTCTGAGCACCCTCGCATTGTTACTCAGAGCTGCCAACCCCGTGTTCGACATGCCAACGGGTAAGGTGTCGAAGACACACACGGCGCCTCGTCAAAGTTGCTGGGCATTTTCTTTCTTTCTTTCAATTACAGAGCTAGTGCACAGATTGCTGGGAAGATCAGTTCACCCACATGCCTTCATTGTTTGGGGACTTTCCCTCTCGGCCCTTTTCATTTGATGGGTATTCTTGACCAGTTGCAGGCACTGTGCAGGTTACTTGATTTGAGGTGGGCTTTGTTTGTTTGGTTGTTTACACTCAGCCTAGGTCAGGATAAAAGGCAGGCAGGACTCTTGGGAGGAACATGATGAGGTTGATGTGCTGCTTTTGCGATTTTCTTTCCCCTTTTCTCTTGGGTTGACGATTTTTTTGGTGGGAAGACCCAGAAGGAAATAGGAAAACCAGCTAATATTGTCTTACCCACGCTTTGGAACTTTAAAGGGACAGAGCCTCACACACCATGCAAAGTAGGCTGTGTCATTTAAATTACAGTTGATTGATAAGCGTTTAAGTCAGAAATCACTGTGGGGATAGGGGGGCAACAAAAGAAAAAATAAATAAACAGAAGAAGAACCCATGTGTTCTTTGCTTCTGAATGTGAGTGGATTTTATTTTGATACTTTATTGTTTTTTTAAATAAGTCTCAGTCTGTCCTCCCCCCCTCCTGCCCCCAAATGCCAGCAAAATGTTTAAGCAGCAAATCTCAAACAGCAGCAAGAGAATTCTTATCAAAACCTACAACTAAGGTTATATCAGATGTGACTTTTGTCTACTCGCTCATTTTGGGAGAAACTCAATAAAGGGTTTTAGATCACTTAGTGTTATATATTCTTTGTATTTATTTATTTATTCATTTAAAACAAACAAAAAAGGAAGCCTTCCTTGTCTTCTGACCTACGAGCCATAGGTGGACTTTCATGTATGTGTTCATGTTGGGTGAAGAGGAGGGAAAAGTCACACATAATTGCATTCCTGGAAAATACTTTGAATTAATTTTTCTTTTAACCTGTGTGTCATGATCACACAGTTTTAAAAAAACCAGGTAAAGACAAAAAAATTGAGTTCCATTTTCTAAGAAGAATATTTATAGGTGGCAACGAATAGCTGTAATTGTTTTGAGTAGTTTTTAATTTTAGAATCTACTAGCTATTTAGGGTGCTTTGTAGCCCGTTTTCCTCCATGCATTATCTGCACTGAAGTTAAATCAAATCTTTGGAGGAGGTTAAAAAATTATTTTTTGCTTCCTAAGCACCCTTTTGTTCTCTCTCTTTCCCTTTCTCTCTGTGTTCAATTAACACCCCCATCACAGAACTGTAGTGCTTTTTTTTTTATAAGTCTACTACTGTATTTCACTTTTGACACCCTCCCTTATTATTCTCTCCTGCCACATCTTTTTAATATAGCAATTATGTTATGGGACTTGCATTCCTCCCTTCCCCCCTTAAAGCCTTAACAGAATAATCTGAGTTTGAGTTTGTGGGGTGTGTGTGTGTGTGTGTAAGCAGGTGGGGATAGGAGCCGAGCGTGGAAGGAGGCTGTGCAATGCAGGGAACTGTTCTGAGGGGACTGGGCCTTGAGCAGAGAACAGGACTGAAAGAACTCTGGACCATGGAGAGACACTCTGCTCAGATTGTTTTTTAGGGTTGAGGTGGCCAGAGAGACTTTTCACTGAAACTCACAGCAGGAAAAGAGGGGGCTTGAGGGGGGGAACACCACCTTCTCTCGCTGATGAGAGAATTCCAAGTATGTTGTCTTTTACATTTCTGTTCATTTCATATGTTTGTTTATTTGTTTGGAAGAAAGCGCTGGCTAGTGAGAGAAGAGGTGCAAATGAAGGGAAGCTACCAGCCAGTTCTACCTGAACACGTCACACACAGCACAAGGTGTGAAGGCAAAAGTCATGTGATTAGCCACATGTTATTTACTGTAACCTGGATACCAGCTATGGATTTACAATAAAGATTCTCTGAGTGACACTGTCCGAGATGAGTTTACAGCAGCCGAGAAGTGCCCCTTCTCTCTCTTCTGCATAATCTGGTTTTAAAGACAGGTTTAGAAAACTGGCATTTGAGATGTAGGGAGGAGAGCGCAAAGAATAGTTTGAATGTAGCTAACAGAAATCGAGGAATGAGGGGCAGAGAGGTATACAGTGGGCAGTGATGCATCTGTGGTGGTTGGAAATGAGAACGTTTTTGGTTAAACTGAGGAAAATGGGGAAGGATTTGTAAGAGGAAAAACTGAGGGCGAAACTTCAGTTTAAGTTGCTGTGGGGAAGTGGGCGCTTTGGGAGTAAGGCTGCCTGTTCTAAGTTGGGTGGTGGGCTGACGGGCTCTGGGTGGAAAGGGAGCGAGCAGTACCTGTGAGATGTGGAACTCCTTGCCCGGCCTGTGCTTTCTACCTGGCTCTTGCCCGTGCTTTCTGGTGACCTCCATAAACTTTTTGTTGTTAGTAAAATCATAAAAGTACCCCCAGACAAATGAAAGCCTACATATTGAACAATTTCA